ATAGTTTATCTTAAAGGTGCAACAATTTGTTGCTATTAAAATAACATAAATTGTTTTCATATTAAATATATATTAGAAAGCTCACTTGCAGCCATCTTCATATTGAATTAAATTTGTGTATTCATTGTTTTAAGTTTGTGACATCATCTTGAGCCATTCACATGCATCTGATCAGTGCTGCAGGCTGACAGGTTCCTGCAGGACTGTTCTCTGAAGCAGCTCTGAAGACCATGGAGACTCACCAAGTGCTGAACAGGATCAAGAAGTCTGATGTAGTTCAGGAGCTGCAGTGGTGATGTGGCTCTGTACCAGCTGCTCTTCATGGAGAACAATCTGCAGGACACCTTCAGAGACTGTGACTCTGCTGAAGACTCTCATCACATCTCCTCTGACCACAGCTGAATCTGAGAGGAGCTTCTCTACAATGAAGTGAATCCAGACTTTCCTCAGGTACAACATCACATCTCACTGCACTGACCATGCTATATAGAGAAGAATCTTGTTAAAACATTCCTGACTTTAACCAGAGTCATGAAGAAATTTGCTTCTCAGTAACAAAAGAGCAAAATTTATGTACAAAAATAAACCACTACATGACATTGCAATTCTGTTTTATTATTTTCGTTTGTTTAATAAATACACTGTCGTGATACAACTTAGTACATGTTTGATTGCTTTTGGAGATGAGCCTATTTTGGAGTTGTAGCCCCCCTGGAAAAAAATCCACCAGCCGCCACTGTTGGTACGTGGGATGGTCTGCCACCTGACTAGATTGTTTGATTTTTTTAAATGGTGGGAAATTTGATCTGCTTAATCAGTTTGTGGAAAACAAGAAGATTAAGCTGTGTTCTCTCGCTTTAACACTATACTGATCTACAGCAAGAGAAAGACGGCTGTGTTAAGGATTAAAAAAGTGTACCTTAAGTACAGCTGTAGTGTTGCCTGAACAAAATCACCAAAATCTAGTTGTTACTGAGGGAATAAAAGTCATTTTGGTRCAAGGTGGATTTCTGGATGCTGAGCGTTCCCTAGCTGTAATGGTTAGCACTCTGAATCCAGCAATCAGAGCTTCATGCTTGGTGGAAACTTTCAGTCTTCCTCCTTTATGGCCTGAAMTAAATCAGAACAGCTCTTCAAACTTTATTTTGCTAATATATAGCTAATATATATATTTTGTGTCTAAATGACAACATCCTTTGAGGAAAAAGTGTAAGGAAGCCTTCCTGTGGTTCTGTGGTGTAAAGGTTGGCACTTTGGACATTGAATCCTCTCGTCCCAGTTCAAGTCTCCGTAGAACTTTTGATGTACATCTTTTGCTGGTTTACATATGTTTATCAATACGGTTTTCTGAAAATACAGATTCTCACAAAGAAGATGAAAGGCTCATTTGTACCCTGAATATCTGCTTGACATGCCTCTCCATGGGTGTGGCACTTTCTTTTTGTCCAAAAGTCACAAACATGGCGAGTCTGTTCAAGGTGTCTCAAAGTCATTGCACAAGGTGGTGTTTACACATGACGACACCGGAAACATCACCTATAACCAGCTTGCATTGGTTCCTCAGTGTAAAACTCATCACATCTGCTTTACACGCAGAAGGACCTGTGTTCGACCCCCAGTGGAACCATGCAATAAAAATTTAGCAATAGCTCAAATAAAACCTAAACTTTGTCTTTTCTATCTACTTTACATTTGTCTGTCTTTGCCTGTTTTACGCATGTCTGAAAAAAAATCAGCTATGCAACAACCAGGTAACATTTTTAGGAGGTGAAACACATTTTCGTGCAAGGTTTATTTTGTAAAATCTTTATCAGCTGCACAACTGCTGTTCTACACAAAAGGAACAGCAACAGTACAAAAGTAGGAAATGTACATCAAAGTGGAAATTGCACATAAGTGAAGAGGGTTAGGCTTAGTGTGACTTACATTTGAAAAAACTATACCACTCATAACGTCAAACATAAACATTTCACATGGATCTATACAGTGCTGGCTCTAGCCATTTTGGTGCCCTAGGCGAGTTGAAGCGCAACCCCCCCCACCCCCGAACTATGCCCCACCTACCCCAATTTAAACCCCTAAAAACAAGTTTGACAGTGAAAGGTACTAAGGCAAACTTAGATTTATTTGCTTTCCCAGGAAGCAAATAAATAATAACGTACATGTCATCTTGTACGGATTATCCATAAGTTATAAGGATTTTACATCATTTTGCAGGTATACACGGACGTATAGAGCAATCTCACAGATTTTTTCAAGTCTTACGGATTTTTTCAAAACCTCATTTTCAAAATTATCTAACGTCAGGGCCTGTAGGATGATTTTAAAAAACAAAAAATAACATTAAATAGCCATCTTCCAACCTGTTCTGCCGCTAGAAATGTTTTGAACTTTTCCTGCTCTCCTTTCCTCCTGCTTCGCAGCGAGGCTGACCCCCCCCCCCGCACCGGAGCAGGACGAGTCAGTGCAACGTCAATCAAATGAGAGGGTGGTGGTGGTGGTGGTGGGGGGGTTATGGCTAGAGTAGTTTATTTTTCCTGTAATACTTCATTATAGTTTTTTAAGACAAAGCTAATTGAAAGGAGCGCTGAACAGAGTTACAACCAGGGATTAGAAATAATTACTTTTTTTTCCTTCTGCAGTTCAGCGGCTCTCCAGCAGATGGCGCTCTAGGCGACCACCTAGTTCGCCTATGCCAAGAAACGGCTCTGGATCTATATATGAACAAATAAAACTGAAGTTTTATAAAATAAATCTGTCAGAAAATTACAAATAGACTTTCTGCAGGAAGATTTCAGGCTCTGGTGTGCTACAAAACATCTCAAAGAATTCAAACTGTGAGATGAACTGTTGGGTTGGTGGACATTGTTTCCTTCAGCCGACTCGCTTTCTTCTGCTGCTGACACGAGTCCACAGGCTGCGGGCTTTCTGGGTAATGGTGAACCTGTGGGGCAGGTGGAGGCTCTTCAGAGGCTCCCTTATACATGAAAGAACTCCTGGTTCTGCTGGTTGACTCAGGTGTTCAAGGGAAACGTAGTTTATTCTCTGGAGCTGTTTGCTGTAGTAGTTCCTGAGGTCACAGAGCTCCTCGGCTGCTGTGTCAGAGATAGCAGAAGCCTGGGAGGGAGAGCTGGGAACCATGGGGATGGGGGTGTCACATGGACACTTCCTAGCTTCTTTTGCTTCAGTAGAATAGCATTTCCTCCTCGGTCTCTGAGAACTGGATGATCTGCGCTTGGAACCATGCTTAATTTGATCAGACTCACTGAAAGCTGCTTTATGTACTCTATTAATCTCTAAGTCTACTTCCACTTCATGCTGAAATATCACTGGTTTTCTCTTCATCTCCTCTTCCTCTCCTTGCCTGTAAACAGGCTGGTTTTCTGTTCCTTCTGTTTGCCTGTCCACCATCAGGTCTTGTTGCCTTAAGAAGTTCCTCTGCTCTTTGAATAGTTTCTGTCTGGGTTGTGCCTCATCGCTGGCTTTAACATCTGATGTGTTCTGTAAACATAAAATCCAGTGTTAGTGAAGAACTTTGGAAAGTTGAAGCATTAAGACTTAGAACTGTAACATTGTAAGTAAGAGGAAATCTAAAGGTACAGTTAGTTCATTAATGTGCGATGAACCGTTAGTAAAGATTCTTCAATGCTTTCGTGTCAGAACACCGCCACCAGAGAACAGAATGAAAAGGCTTGGGTGTTGATCATGTTTTCACTGATAGGATTCATGGTCCTCTAACTTTTAGAATTAAATTTCAAACTGCAGTTTCCAAATGCAACGATGAAACTGACAAGTCTTCATCCTCAGTCACATCCTTTCTACATTTTTTWAAAAAATGCAAACTGATGTAATGACATCATTATTATCAATTCTGGACTTTCTTCTAATGTGCTGCAAACATTCAAGGTGTGGCTCAGAGAAATTTTTAAATCCTGCTGTTGGAATTGCTCAGACAGAAACTTGCGCACAACATAATGCCATCATGTCGCACTAAAAGAAGGGGTGTGACTAAACACGTCTGCCCACACTGACGCGCTGCATACAAACTGACAAAAGTCACAACAAAAAAGGATGAACCCAAGAAGGTCAATGAATATTTTCAAAAACAGGCAAATAAACAAATGTGATTTTAAAGGGCACATAAGTAAAATCCACTTTCTTTCAGGCATTAAATTCATTTTGTTGTATACTTGAGTAGGAGTGCAGAAACGTTGAATTTAATCTCTCCCTGTGCTGTGTATATATCTTTATATTCTGTTTGGGTCATATTTTTCATCCCATTAAGTTTTCACTATTTTTTATGATGTTTTATGAAATATTATGTTGCAGATATAAGGTCTGGACTTACCAGCTACCATTTGGTGTTCTTCATTCTCCACTGGCTCTGGGTCAGACTCRTGGCTCCAACATGTAAGGTTGGATGGACAAGTCTTCCCTTGTTTACACCTTTTAATTAATTTGTAAATAAAAATGTTTCTACGCTGCTATATAGTCATAAAACCCTCTATCAAACTAGAACGAACTGATATGGACGCTGGAGGGGGACGGGGTGTGAAGCTCCTTTTTGGATTCGAAGAGACGCGTGAGGGACCGCACATTTTCACGTCAAATTTGGGTTTTAGAAATCACAACCTTTGCGTGAAAAGTGGCGTACACAAGTTTCTGGGCTCGTTTTGCGCTTTATAAACCAACAATGTCAATAAAGAACACCACCACAAAGATTAAATCAAATCAGTTTTATTCATTTATTTAAAATCAAATCAATTTTATTTATAAAGCGCTTTAAAACAGCGGCCGCTGACACAAAGTGCTGTAGGCTACATGAAAGGCCGAAAACAAACAAATCAACACTAAAAACACTCAAACACTAAAAACAAGCAAAAAAAAAAAACAGCTAAAAAAGACCAAGATCTCAAACTGTGTTAAAAGCCAGTGAGTAAAAATAAGTTTTAAGATTAGTTTTAAAAACAGGCAATGAGGAGGCCTGCCAGACGTGTAGAGGTAGCTCATTCCAGAACTTCGAAGCAGCAACTGAAAATGCTCGATCTCCTCTGAGGTTTCGCTTTGTCCTGGGTATTTTAAGGTGCAACTGATCGGCTGACCGGAGAGGTAAAATRGGGCAAGGCCATGTAAAGATTTAAAAACAAATGAAAGAACCTTAAAACGAGCTCTAAAATGAACAGGCAGCCAGTGGAGAGAAGCCAGAATGGGTGTGATATGCTCCCTTTTACGTGTTCCAGTCAGCAAACGAGCAGCAGCATTCTGAACCAACTGGAGCCGTGCAACGGAGGACTGGCATACTCCAACAATTACTGTTTCAGAGCGCTGGTGCAAGAGAAAAGGTGCTTTGCAAGCTGTCTGAGGTGGAAAAAGCTTGACTTCACTACAGCACTAACTTGGCTGTCCATCTTAAAACCCAAATTAGTGACAGTAGACTTTGCATTAGCTGCCAAGGGATCCAAATCAACAGAGRGGGACACACTAGAGCTGCTAGGGGAAATCATGATCACCTCCGTTTTCTTCTCATTAAAACTCAAAAAGTTCAGGGCCAACCAAGCTTTAATATCATTAAGACAGGACAGCAAGATTTTAAGAGAATAAGCAACACTTTTCTGCAAAGAGACATATATCTGGCTGTCATCAGCATAACAATGAAAAGCGACACGTTTTTTGAGGATTGACCCAAGAGGAAGCATTTACAAGGAGAAAAGCAGAGGACCCAGTACCGAACCCTGTGGAACCCCATTTGAGAATGGAAGAGTAGAGGATTCATAAGCTCCAAGCCCAACAGACATAGTCCTGTCTGCCAAATAGGACCTAAACCAGTCCAGGGCACTTCCACCAATGCCCACTAACTTCTGAAGATGATTCAACAGAATGCAGTGATCTGTCAAAGGCAGCGGCMAAGTCAAGAAGGACAASAACAACATAGTTGCCACTATCATTTGCTATTAAAATATCATTAAAAACTTTTAGAAGGGCAGTTTCCGTGCTATGCAATGTTTTAAAACCAGACTGAAAAACCTCCATAATGTTATGCTCCTCAAGAAATGATTTTAATTGTGTGTACACAATTTTCTCTAGGATTTTAGAAAGAAAYGGGAGCTTGGAGATGGGCCTGAAGTTTGCCAGAACAGTGTTGTCAAGGCCAGGCTTCTTCAGCACAGGTTGTACTACTGCRTGTTTGATCAGACGGGGACAACAACAGAGGACAGGCTGCTATTTATAGTAGTCAGAACCATCTGCACAATAGTAAAAAATACCTGTTTAAAAAAGTGGGGAGGGACCACATCATGAGGGGAACCAGATGGTTTCATATGGGCCACCAGACCCTCCAACAGAGACAGAGTCACCGGCTAAAATCCATTTAGCACCGCTGGACATGGAACAGAGACAGAGGGGTCAAACATAGGTGGAGAAATGAGAGCTCTTGTGGAAGTAACCTTCTCAGTGAAAAAGTGAAAACTATTGCACACATCAATGGATGTTTCCAAACATACAGGCTGTGGGACATTCAGGACAGAGTCAATCGTTCTGAACAGTACACAAGGATTCTTATAGTTTTCTGTAATAATGTTTGATTAATATTCTCTTAGATTCTTCAACAGAATTTTGATAGAAGCACCAGCGGTCCTTTAAAATTTGAAATGAAATCTGCAGCTTGTCCTTCTTCCACCGGCGTTCGCCTCAGCGACATTAACGTCTGGCTGCACGTGTTCTGTCATTGAACCAGGGTTCAGACTTAGCCCTAGACTGCCTGGGCTTTAGAGGAGCCACTAAGTCCATTACAGAAAGGCAGGAGGACAAAGCTCTTCTTTATCAGCACAGATTGAATCAGGGTGCACACAGACAGCAGGGAAAGCAGCAGAAAATTGACCAACAGTAAAAAGGTTAAAAGCCCGACTAAGTTTGACAGGTGTGAAATGTTTAACTGTCATGCAGAAAAAGTCTGCACAAAATAACACTGGAGCATGATCAGAAAAAAACACAATCACCAAGATGGACACAGTCAGACCATGGGAGAAAACCAAGTCTAATGTGTGACCATGCTTATGAGTGGAGCCAGACACACAATGCTTCAAACCAAAAGAGTCCACAATATTTAAAAAGTCCTTCACCATGGGCTTATCAGGGCAACAGACATAAAGATTAAAAKCAACGAACCAGGAGGACACGATCAAAATTCGGCATCACTTTTGCTAGAAAGATTGAAAAGTAACTTTAAAAGTCCTTATTATATTTTGGAGTCCGGTAAACAATGGCGCAAAGCACCGGGTCAGAGCGACCAAMCTCAAAGGCAGTTAGCTCAAAGGTGGAGAAAGACTCAAAATGCTGTTTACAGTAATATGTTCCTTTAAAAACAGCCGCTGTCCCTCCACCTCGGCCCAGCGCCCGCAGAGAGTTAAAATAGGAGCAATCAGTTGGCAAAAGTTCTGAGGGCTGCACTCACCAGCGCTCATCCATGTCTCCGTTATGCAGAGGAAGTCCAGATCCTGAGAGTTGAATAAATCTCTTAAAATAAATGTCTTATTTGCCAGCGATCTGGCRTTGAMCAGGCCGATTTTAGACAGAGCTGGAGCTTGCGGTTGGGGAGACCGCTGAGCACGAGGTAGCATCCTCAGATTGTGAAGATTAGTCCCACGCCGGTGGAGCCACGGAGAGATGGGGTCATGCATCCGAACCATGTYCGAGTCATCCAAGCCGGGGACAGGCACCAAACACCTGTCGATGGGATCAAGGAAGCGCCGAGGCACCGCAAAACRGTGCGATGGTCCCTGCACCGGATCATATGAGGAKCGTGCCAGGCAGACCCTTAGCGTCACCATTCGGCCACTGCGCTTGCCGCGGCGACGTCTCCGCGGTGAAGGCAGCGCTGAGGCCTGGCACAGGTAAGCCCGAGTTTCCAGCAGGAACGGGGGTGAGGTTTTCTGTCCATCGTGACAAAAGATACTTTGATCTCTGATTTTATATCTGTATTGTAAGTCCAAAAGAAACTGGCCATCATATACCAGCAGAGACTCGGTCTGAGAAATGTTTAAACTTACAAACAGCCAAAAGACAGACAGGAGTTGGAGCAACAGACGGCATGCCGCAYACACTGGCGCCATCTTGTATTGTACAATGAGAGACGTTCAGWTTAAATCAGAAATGAAGGTTTTTAATACATTAACAAGAGGTTGTGGAGCTTATTTTGTTCTCAGTACACAAGCCTCTTGGTTAGAAAAAAATACATCATGTTAATTATTTWAAAAAGACATTGTTTCAGTTCCAAGCTTGCATTCAGAATCAGGACAGTGTCGTGTCAACAGACGTGAACAGAGTAAAGACTGTACTTTGTTAACTTGTCTTCTGAGTGGGCTGTGGGTGGGARGGCTACCAAAGCTCTGTCTTGGCTTTCTTGGATACAGGGGGGTCTCCACTGCTTTCAACTGATCTCTTTCTTTCTTTGGCTTTGCCCTGGCCACTTGCAGCTTTTACCTGCAGGTCATGAACAAGAGACTTTTAATTACAAGAGTTCACACCTACATGGAATGAACGGGATGAATGCTCAGAACTCAGACAGGAGAGAATCCACCTCTCACTCTCTTTCCTGAGGATTTCTGTCACTAAACTGATCTCAACAAACAGAAGACAAGGCAACAGATCAAATTAACAAACATCTGTATCATGAATAAATTCAAATAACTGCTGCTTAAACCAACGCAACTTCCTTTTAGAGTTTAAAACAGAATTATTTCTACATCTCATGARAGAGAACAGTTAATATTTGTAAAATTATGTTTGAAGCTTACCCTTAAAAAGAAAGTTCACCATCAATAAATATGACACAGTATTTAAAACTAATAATGGAACTTTTAAAATAGACAAATGTTGTTGATCCTGTTATATGTTAACATACATTACTGGGTCATTCAGAAGTAAAAATGTAAAATTATTTAACTAAAATATTAGGTAATAACAAGTGATTCTGGTGATTATATTTGCTGATGCAGCTTTGTTGTAGGTCTTTACAAGCTAAAAATAATTGGATGAATTACTGGAAAATATTTATTAAGGTCTAAACTGGCCATATTAAAGCTTCTGTATCCATCACTGACAGAACATAACACTGTTCTGGATGAGCAGCAGAGGATCCCGCAGACACTACAAAGATGTTATTGTAGTTAATAAATGAAAACTAAGAATTAATGAAAGTGTAGATTATATGATTATTTTTCTTCTACAAACTGCTAAAGACTGAAAATAYAAATACATTTAGTCATCTGTAAAAMGGGTCCTTTCTCTCACTTACCTTTGGTATACTATGAAATACCTAGAGAGTATATGTGTATGAATATGAAAACATTATAAAACAACTAAAGAAAGATGTCAGCCAGCAGGAGGACAGAACAATAAAAACACATCAGCCATAGGGAGAAGAGAACACCTACTAGAGAACTACAAAAAGGGAGAAAATGAAGGGGTCAAATAAAAAATAAGAATCTGTAAGTTAAAGACGTGAGGCGAGAATAAGACCCCATCTAACTGGGGACAGTGTTGAGCCAATACACAAAGGTTTTTTTTATATAATTTCAGCTTTATGTACACACAGAAACTGCACTTTAGTAGCCCATAAACATTATTTTTTAAATAAACAAGTTCCAGACTATACCTTAGAACAGTGGTTCCTAAACTTTTCAGCCTTGACTCAAAAAATAACGACAGCATTGACATAGAACCCCAACAATTTTTGGTTGGTTAACATTGGTATCAGGCCAAATAAACAAGGGCATAATAACAGCATTTATTATCTAATTTTATTTATTTTAGGTASACTAACTACACTCTTGTAACAWCGACGGCAAATAAAAATGTTGTTAGTAGTCAACTGTTTTGTTTTTTAATTTATGTAATTAATTCAGAAAATATTTTCAATACCCCACCTTGATGTTTTTGGACGCCACAGTGGGTTCCGACCYCAACTTTAGAAAGTAGTCCTTAGATTTATAGTGTGTATTGAGCTCACTGTAATGAAAATATTTGACACAGTATTTCCTCCAACAGGCCACAACAATACAAACACACTGCTAATCTCTTGTATGTTTTACAGCTGTTCCTCCATRAAGATATTCTGGTTGGCAGTGGTGGGCACTAGTCCCCTAAAGCGCTTTAGTGCTAATTGCTAACCTAAATTTTTTGTTTGCGCTTTAGGGCTTTTGTTAAACTATTTGAACATGTGTGTGGATTTGTGCTTTCTACATTTAAAAATTCAGAAGTGCTTAACWAATAATTTTATCAAGTATTGATCCTCATTCTCTCTAACAGCGGGGGAGAAAGCTGTCTCAAGTCAATACAATGCAGAACCATTATAAGTTAACAGCACCCCCTCTGATAACAGTTTGTTCTCAGAAGCTATATACTCATTTTGCCCCTTTTCCACTAGTGCCACTTAGTGTAGTGTCGGTACGGTTCGGTACAGTTCCAAGCCATTTTCATTAGGCCAGATCCATGGAACCAGCACTTTTTTTTAGTACCTACTTCAGTGTGGTTCCAACCGGCCCCAGCTGACACCAAAATGCGACGTCAGAACACTGTTCGTCACTGATTGGCTAAATTTTAGCAAATGTTTAAAATTTCAAAAGTTATTCATCAAATGTGTTTCTATCTCTCATTTTGCCCATTATTTTCTTTTCAAAATAACCAAAAACCACCTCCACCAACTGCCCAAAACACACCCATTGGAACCGGAMTGGAACATCCGTGGAAAACCAACCGGTTCGACCCGTACCGACCCGTACCTACACCGACAGTTCCGACACTAGACCATGGAAAAGGACCATAATTGATGCTCTTTTTGACTCATGGTTTTCATTTAAGAGACAGTTCTCATAGTTCTTTGCATTTACATGGCAGGAAGCAATTGGAAATACGACACTGGAGCCATAACATAAGCAGGAAAAAGTTTAAATTCATGTTCTTAGCTTGAAGTGAAAACAGTTTTCTGTCTTCCTTGTTTTCGCTTCCCGTCACCAATTCGTCCTGTACCCAGAATGCATYACTTCAGTTYTCCAATAAATTGCTTAAAGTTACATATATCCTGCATGCTTTATTACCGAAGCCCAACCAWAAACATAAGAAAATGAYGAAGAAAGAGCAGAACTAGCAATSATCAACAACTGTTTATTTATCACCMTGAGCCCAAAGTTTGTTTCAACAAATCACCTCCCCAAACCGCAGTGATATGTGCAACACTGTAAAAGTAAAGTGACGTGCCTCTAGCCGGCAGTATTATGCAAGCGTGGCTCATGTTATCACTGGAATGTACTCTGGTGAACTCTGAGTCAATGACGCGCTTTAGAATTAGCTTCTGCTAAGTTTTATTGAGTAAGCGCTTTAGAACKTTTGGATTAGCACCGCCCACCACTGCTGGTTAGAAATTGTTGTTGTGCTGTTTCTGTGTGGACAAAATATTTATTTAATACARGTAAACTGTTCTGTGATCAGTGGAGACCTGACCCAAACTGGACAGCTGGACAGTACAAGTCTCCATCAGACTGCTTTAGAAGTGTCCAGCATTTTAATTTATCAGACTGTTAACAGAAAAAAACTCTTTCAGTCCTGATTTGTGATGCTGAGTAACAATAGATGAAAGGAACATCTTGTTTTCAATGTGTAGGCAGTAAAACTCACCACAGCAGGCCAGTCGCTGCATTCTCTTATCTTCATGTGAATCGTGTGAGTCGAGTTCTTCAGCAGAGRAGCTTTGCGACCCAACTTCATATAGAAGTAGGTAGTGTATGGAGTGAAGCTGAAATCCTCTCTGAGGTCAACACAGAAACCAAAGAATTCTCATTCAAAATATTCCAACCCTCAAGGCAATATAGTGTTGGTGCTAATGCAAAGGCTAACAGGCTAAGCTGAGGTTCTTCTTCCATAAAGCAGCTCTGTTGTCCTCCATCCATATTTTCAGTTACAGGCTGAGTCATTTCTACCTTCTCTACCCTAACCTAACCGCTGCAACACACCTCACACAAAAACAACACAGTGAAAACAACACAGTGACAGCACAGTGGCAGAATATTTCACTTAATTTGAGAAATTTGAGAATAATTACACTCCAATTAAGTTAAATAATCTGCCAATGGAATAAGACAATTGCACTTAAATAGAGACMTGTTTCATATTATAGAGCAGCTTAGATTGTGGCATTTACACGGATTATTCATCAGTAAAATATAGCAACTATTCTTTTTGAAATGACGGCTAAAATTCTGCCTCACATACTGTAATTATTAGCTATTAATTTTTAGATCCACTTCCCTTTGAAATCGCAGCTATGAATGACAATAATTCATCATTTCAAAGTAGAGATGTGATCCAAGTGGCATTATTCATGGATATTACAAGGTTATTAAATAATAAATAAAAACCACAATGAAACTTGTAGTCACCTCAGGTATCCCTGGAGAAGCAGGTGGATGATTACAGCTTCAGCCTGCAGGCGGGTCAGCACCGTGGTCTGGATCATCTTCCTTCTCTTGGCSGGACCCTTCCCCATCCAGGCCTCCACCAGCTTCAGCGGGGTCAGTTTCTCATCCATCGAGGCAGACAGCTCCAGGATTTGCAATACTTCCCGGGCATGTTGAGTTATATCCACATTGATGTTGACTGCAGGAATGAAGAAAAACAGCTTGATGTACATGCAAATATTATTTGTTATTAAAACACACAATACTAATGTGAAATAAACCCAGCATGTGTTTTTTTAATGTGAATTTGCACCTTTTTCTTTGAAGCATGAAGTTATGATCTGGTGCTGCCAAACACTTCAAACAAATAAATCTATGCCTGTTTTCTGAGTGTCACTTAATCTCATTTTTAAGTTTATTTCTAGCTGCTGTGAAAAATCACTTATTAAGACAAGGGCTTTCATCCACAAATCATGGGCTTACATGTTAAATTATTATTTTTTTGTATTAGTTTAAATTTATCTTTTTCCACAGTGGAATAACTATACAACATACATCTTTAACCTATTTTTAAAACAAGTTAGAAATGAATTTGTATTTTATCTAGTCTATTCAGGTTCCAAATTATACATACAGGCTCAAATACGTACATCAACTTTTATCTAAATCCTTTGTGATACCGAAGTCTTTTAATTTAACAAGGTCTGTTGGGCCATTCAACTAAATTGCTCCAGGGGCCAGGCTTACTCGACACCTACAGCTCAAGGGTCTGACACTGCAGAACAAGTATTATTTTTACTA